GTGACCTCTACGGAATTATTCTGTATTTTCCCATGGTTTTTATGATGCAAGGTGTTTGGATAGCTAAGCTAAGAAACGAGAAAGACACGAGATGACATTGACAACGAAAGTGATGAGCGAAGTTAAACGAGCTTTATTTTAAGTTTAAAATCAGGCTGTATTAATTGTCAGCTATAGAGCTCGTTTTATTTTTGATTTTTTTAATTTTTTTTTAATTTTTTTTTATTTTTTTTTTTTAAGTATAAAATGACAGAATACGTGACTTGCGATTTTTTTATTTTTTTTTTTTTATTTTATTATTTTTTTTTTAAATTGATGGCGCGAGAATATTGAATTATTTACGCATCTTGTATCGAATTGTCTCTCTTCGTTTTTAGAGAGAATCGCTCCATTTTCCCTCTAATCTCTCCTCTAATATAAAGCTCAGTAGTTTAAAACTGACGAAATTCGAAAGTATAAGGTGAACAGGAAAAAGCGTGTGACTATTGACCCTGGAAGAAATGCGCGCTGTGTAAACGTTAGGTAAACAATAGGGTCTGTATCAAAAAGTTCGTAAGAATGTAATGAGATTGTATTGGAGTGGAAGCTTTTTTCTAGCTGCTGCAAGCGAGCAAGCAGGTTATTAAGTCCTGTGTAATATCTCAAGTGTGTTTGTATATGAAGCCACATTGGTCGTGAGGCTGAATGTTGGGTCCAATCGTAAGTGAAGGTGTATTTTTTTTCATTAAAAATCCCATTTTTCGACAACAATATAGTAGTTTTTGTTTTCTTACTTTTTTTTTATCTTGCGTGATTTTTATCGTGATGACACACAGTCTGTTGATAAGTATATATTTGTCACATTCTATGTATAGTCACGGTTAAATTAATTAAATTGGTATCATTAATTCATCTATGATTGTATTATTTTGAAGTTTCATATAACAGGGTTATTCACAGTAATTCAAGGATGTCAAACAAGAGGTGTTGAAATTTGTAATTAGATGTTTTGATAACACTAAAGATTGACGTGTAACGGGTTCTCATTACATTTTTACACTTACGAGTAAATAATTCTTTACTACATCACGTTTTAATGTTTATACATGCAGGAGCTGTATTTTGTATTGTAAAAAGTTAGATATACTGTGGTCGTTGCTGGTAACATGTCGATTTGTGTACACGTTTTTTACATGTGTAAAATTGTACAGAAACTTGTAGATCCACATCACAAGAATTGACATCTATATATTCTCGTACATTTTTGTATGTAAGACAAAATTTCTTTCTACAGCACTCGTTTTTATCCATCGCAAACGACAAAAAAATGATGATATTTAATATTTTGTAATTATTATAAAATATATATTTATTTATAGACGTTTGCACAGGAGAATGGAATTTGTAGATACTAACGATTACTCTGTTACTTACACATGCAATCAGAATGTACGAATGATGAGAAGACGTACATGACTACGTACAGAAAAGGGATTATTAACATAGGAGAGAAAATAAAAGCAAGAAAGCATGGGGCAATCTTAACTTTTTTTACTCAAATTACTATCAACGTATTTTGTGAAAAGAATGTGTTTAAGACTTAAATAAATGTATGTGACTGATAGTCTTACTTTTTTTTCTTTCTTTTTATTTTATTTTATTTTATTAAGGGATTTGATGCACATTTGGTGCAAGTTTACAAGTCTTCGAATTTATTATAACAAAAAGATTGAAATATAAAAATGATGAAAATGGGGCAACTTATTTATTGCTTGTGAGTGGTGATCAAAGTCTGTGTTTTTACCAGCAGCGACAATGCGTATAAATGTACAAAAGTCAGGAAGCCCAATTGCACATTGCTTTTGTACACTTCTGATCTCATTTTATACAACTAACAATTACGTGACCTAATGTTGCATTTAACTAGAACTTACGAGTCCATTACTGTGAGAAAAATTAGCTTTTAACAGGCATTTATAGAACTTGCATACTGTGGGCTCCTGTACTTTTGTCCTTTACAAGACTTTAGTACGAATGTTGTAAAAATACGACTGCTACAATGTATTTAATTAATTGGCAACTGGTAATTATATGATCGACGCTTGATTCGATCTAAATTTATTAATACTTTAAAAGATGAAGAAAATGAGGACGAAGAGGAAGGAAAAAAGTAATCTACAAGTAATGAAGGACTATTCAAAGTTATGTTTTTAAACTGAATTTTTGAAATAGAATGCGTACGGAGAGGCAGACACTCGACTTTGTCTTATTTTTATGGCTCTACCCACCTTTAAGTTAAACAGTAATTTACTCGTTTCTACCTTTGTTATTTTAATGTCTATGACAGTGAGCTTTTGTCGTGTAAAAATTCAAGCGTAGTACACATTGATATAATAAATAAAGCATCGTCGCGTTGCGGTTGTGCTTAAAAACAAACAAGTTCATAACATAATCGTATATTTCCCTGGTTAATTTTTACATTATCATTTGTTTTCTTACAACTTACAAACATTTGTTGCTTATCAACAATTAAATAAATATTACAGGGAAGTATACTTGATGTTCTTATCACTTATTAAATTTAATCAGAATTATTTGCCTTATATTTGATATGTTTTTTTATATAGTTTTCACATTTATTAATTAATCTTAAAGTTTATCATTTATTTATGTTAATATTATAAAGATATTTCCTTGAAGAATTTTGAAAAATGAAGTATTTTAGATAAGAGTCATTAAGATTGTTTGCTAAAAAACAATTTACTGTTTTTTTTTAATTTTTTTTTTTTACTTATGTTTATGAAATATGCAGTTCATTAAATTTATGATCACATAAAAAGGAATTCTTTTGTTTTATTCAAAGCAGAATAATTATGATTTAACGGGAAATGATCACGAATAAATAGAGGAACATATAAATAATATGGTTTAATAAATTATAAAACTTGAACAGTTGTGAGATTTATTATTTTAAAAGTACATGTATTCTTGATATCTACTTTTATTAGAAAATGCTAATAATTTAACTGGCAAACATTTCTATTATTTATTTAATAATATTTAATAATTTTCTTAATAACTTTGTTTTTATTCATACAATGATAATAGTAATCAACATATAAAATTATTTTATCTTTTCAATAGCTCTTATATCCATTCTAATTACATTTTCAATTTAGCTTTCGTTTGATTTTCCTTTATATTTTTTTACTTAAGAACATTTATAATCAATGTAATTTTTATTAGAAATGCTCTATTATTACCTTCATACAATTATAGGTTTAAATTTTATAAATTTAGTTCAATTGGTTCAATTTATATATTATAATTAAATATATACAAATACTTAATTATAATACTATTGTATAATTCCATGTGTAATAAATAAATTAGTAAAACGAGTAAAAATATTTATAAAACAATAGTATTTATTCAATTATTTTATTTTTACCATATCTTAAAAATACATTTTTTATATATTAAATTTTCATTTATTAAACATAACAATAACTTAGTAGCTTATGATTAATAGCACGAGATAGGTTATAAGTTTGATCCAAAAATACGTGGAAATTGAGAAGCTGGATTCCTTATTCCTTGTATTCAAATATTTCGATGCATTTGGTATAAAGGAATGACATGTTAATTTAATGATCTGAGTGAAGTATTTGAAGAATAAGTAGTTGATTTATTAAAAACGAAGTGAAATTGCATGTAAATATGCATACGTTTGTGGTTAGATATGTAATTAAGTAATTTGCACATATTAGTAAGAGAAATATAATTAATAATATATTTACTTACTTATAAGGCTTATTTTAAATTTACAAATAATGCTGGTAAACTTTTGTGATACATGCTTACGAACAGACGTAATTTGTAGTACTGTTTGTACCGAAGGTTATGAAGCTTCTAATCTTGTAAACAATTCTGATAAAGGTTTTTTAGCATATTCATGCATTAAACCTCCAGTAACTATAGATTTTATTTTTATTAGTAACATTCAAATAAGTCATGTTATTGTTTGGCCACAAGTAGGAGCACAAAAATCATGTGGTTTTCAGTTATCTGTTAAATCATCGGATACAAGTAATGAACCATTCACTGTTATTTCTACTGCATTCTTGCAGAAAGGAGAAACAGGTATATCGTTTCATCAAAGAGAGATTTCATGTAACGTAGATATGTCTGCACCTATTAATTTTGTTAAGCATTCTATAAAGTCGATGAATATTACAAACTATGCAAGTATTTTACGTCTTAATATTTTAAAAACTGAAAATTCCGTACCAGCATTAGGTAAAGTTGAAATTTGGGGAAGAGTTTCACCTAAATGTGGGAAAGATATAGCTATGAATGTTATGGCACTATGGATGAATCGATTTAATGATTTAACTGTTTCTAAAACTGCTACTACCTCTATTGAAAATAATCAAAGACAGAAAAAAGAAAGGTAAATATCTGCTTTATCATTATTATTATCATTATTATTTGTAGTATAATAACAATATTAATTTAAAGAGAACAAGTAAGCAGTTCACTAAATGTACCGGAAGAATTTTTAGATCCAATTACTTTTGAAATAATGACTCAACCTATTATTTTACCAAGTGGTAAAATTATAGATCAAAAAACACTAGAAAAGTATGGTTACAATGAAGCTACATGGGGCAGACCCGTTTCAGATCCATTTACAGGCATTCATTTTAATAATGTTCATAAACCAATAGCTGCTCTTCCTTTGAAGGCACGAATTGATAAATTCCTTCTTGAAAATAGTAATGATGCAGAGATAAAAAAATTACCTAGAGTATTAGGTGCAAATATATCACAATTGAATAATGTGAAAAATGTAAATGTAATATCTTGTGTACCTAAAAGTCGTACAGACAATGTATGTACTGTGAATAATAATGGTAAACAACTGAAAAGAACTTTTCCAAAAGAAGAAACTAGTTCATATTATAATTCAAAAAAATCTTTTCATGGACATTCTTTACCAGTAGTGTCTATTAAAAACTCTAATCCAAGTAATAATTTAACCGAAAAACCACTAGTCAATATGACTGCCTTCAAAAATAAAATTTTGACTAAAGAAGAAATTTCTAAAAAGAATGCAATCATTGAACATAAATTAAATACAAATATTCAAGTTGCTAGTATGCCAACTTGTAAATGTTGTACAGAAAAAATTTTTTACAAATTACCTTGTGAACATATTATATGTAGAAAAGCTTTGTTATCACTTAAAAAAAATCAATGTACTAATTGTAAATTAGAATTTAAAACATGCGATCCTCAAAGATTTCATTTATGTAATTGAAGTAAATTAAAAATGAATATTTATTATTGATGTATCCAAAGTAATTTATTTAAATTATCATTTTTTTTTACATAAAAGCAGCAAATATGGGTTGTTAGATTTTATATTTCACTGATTACATCATAAATTTTTATATCTAATACTTTTAAGCATAAGTGTGTTAATATAAAAAAAAAAAAAAAATAAAAAAAAAAATAAAAAGTTTGGTAGTCATCGGGTTTTTTTTAATTATGTTAAAAATACATTCTTAAATAACTATTTTTCTTTTCCTTGACTACTAACAGGTTTTTATAAGATAAATTACTACAAAATCAAGTGGCCAAGTAAATAATCAGATTTTTATCACATTTTATAGTTTAATTAATGTTTGTGATTAAAATCGCATGTTTTAGCAAGTACATTGCTTGCACGTTATACTTCTAATGACTTTAATTGCTCTTTCCTCGAATAGTATTTTACATGTAAATTGAAAATGCCATGAAAAAAATGAAATTTGTTATGCATAAACATATTTTTAATAATTATAATATCGAGTAAGAACATGGCAGACTATTTATAATTATAATATAAAATTTGTAATAGAAATGTCATCCATCAAAATTTTGATTTCCACATTTGCATTATAACCATTATTTTTCGTAATATAGCGTGTTAAGTTATCTCATTTGTGTCTCAACATTTGTAATGTCAATGTAAATGTGGATATTTTGTAGATTATAAGTAATCCTTCAATTACTGTAAATCTCCTACCTCATTGACAAGAGTCTGTCGCCTTTAAAATTCTGTCATACAAAGAAAAATATTAACTTTACATAATTATTACATTTTTAACATTGTATGACAATTAAAATAATTAAAATTACCCGCATAACTGTTATTAAACATCTTGTTTAGCAAGAGGAGCATCTTTTGAGTCCTCAATTACTTTTATAGCTTCCTTTTTCTCTTCAGCTGTAAGAGCTTCATCAGCTTCTTTCTTTAATGCAACCTAAACGTATATCAGAAATTTTAATAAAAATCAATTAACAAATTTTCTGATTAATATGCATTAAAGTAACGATTAAAATAAAATTTTTTATAGTAACTATACCTCTTCTTTGCTAGCCTCATCAAAATTTTCTACCAAATCAGGCACTTCATCGTCTTCGTCAAGGACAGCCTTACTAACTCCACTACCAGCCACAGAACTAGCCAATCGCTTTAGCTGAGTTAGACCTTCTGGACCAAGCTGACTTAGAATACCAGGTAACATTTCTGTTATTTGTTTAATTTCACCATGACCAGTGATGGCAAAGGTATTTGCAGAAAGACTGGCCTGTGCTTTAGGATTATTGAAGTGGATAACGCACCCATCATCCTTAATCATATTTACTTCCTCGATGCCAGGAATCGTATTAACAGACAGTTTTTTTAAACAGCTCTGTAATTTCTTATCGTCTGTAGCTGCAGTTGCGTGTACAACCTTGAACGATATTAAACAATGGAATAACATCTGTCTAATACATACAATAGATATATTATACATTTACTACCAATATAAAGAATGCATTTTAAAAATTACGATGTATCCATGATTGTTTAAAAAAATTAGTTGATTAACTGCAGATTGACATTTTCGTCATCTTGGAAAAGAACAAATAATTTTCCAAACAAGTAAGTATTAAAATAGATCTTCACAATAGGGCTGAGTGCAAAGTACATACTGTGAATCCACATCACCCGTAACGAATGCAACAAAAAATTAAATGTAGAGAATTTTAATTCAGCGCACAATACAAGTTATGAAAAATGAACGTACTCGATCCAGAGATCCATTACCCCTCAAAAAAAAAAAAAAAAAAAAAAATAAATAAATAAATAAAAAAATAAAAAAAAAATAATTAAAATAAAAAAAATAAAAAACACGTGGGCGTTTATTAGACAGCAAAGCCAAAATGATTTCAATTCACCGTTTCACTCTACCTTCTTTTTACGGCGGGGTGTACCCTTGCCGCCGATTCGCACTTGTGCTTGGAGCTTCTTCAACTTCTCTGGATTCATGATTGAGAGTTAATTGAAGCACGAGCAAGATGAAAAACTTCGCGTTATAAGCGTACAAAGATTTGGCGGACTAAACGATCTCCACTTGCGCGGAATAAAAAGGGCGACTCGGCTATATGCGCAACACCGGCAACCAGAGAGAGAGCCAAACACGTGCTCTTTCGTTAAGCCGAGAGAGCGACGAGAGCAGAGGAAAATGGAAGTGTAGTTTGCAGAGATACATATATACATGTATACAAGATTCTGGCCGCGCTAGATGACTGCTGGAATCAAAATTTCCGGTTTTAAGATGTTTTTCAATATGACTATTTAGGAGTTTCTTTTCCTATAATCACGTGACTTTTATTAAAACAGAATTATCGCGTTCGTTGAAAAATCGTTAGTGAGCGATTAATAATTATCAAATAATTATTAAGCAAAACAAAGACATTAGGGTTGAGGATGAAATGTTAAACGGTATATGTCATTAAACGATGGAACATGCCATGAAAAAGTTTTCTACCTTTTCGCCTAATTTTCAAAATATACAATTAATGTAAGTAGCTGCTTTTAATTATCTTCATGCTGGCTAATTTGCCGATTTAACATTTTTACAAATGTTATCCTAATTTTATCGATAAATTCATATAAATAATTTGGAAAATTCGTATACGTATAGTGGCATACCTTTTATATCAGTTTATATACAATAAAAAAATTACAATTCTTTCTATTAAATTAAATATTATTGCCCGTTCTTGCTATAACACAAAATCATCTGATTATTGATTATCTTTGATTAATAAAATATTTTATTTTAGGTTAGATAGTGATAATAGTGATATAATGTTGCAATTGTAATTTTTATAAACGCTTTTCATTGATTTAAAATTTCGTTATGCGTGCATGTACGTACGATCTTAGCATGAGTTTATTTAAATATATAAATTCTATTTAAACGTAATAATATTACGCAATATAAATTATTACTTTATAAGATTTATAGCTAGGTTTTTTCTTTTCTTTTTTTTTGAAATTGAAATAAATTAAGTTAAATGTCCTTTTGTACAAATTTGATCTTAATTTTAGTATCGGAGATTTTAGCGCGCTAATATTCATATCAAGCAAAAAGTAGTATCGATTATAATTCTTTTCATATATTTTAAAGTGGCTCAACAATTTTGATTAAATCATTAAAATCCCTATTACTATTTATATTTTGTATTTATATGTTTATATTTAATTTAGTACATAGACTTTTTCCTATACATAATGTAGCTTTAATTTTTGAATTTTGTTTTAATTTAACAATTAAAAAATTAAATCATTATTTCATTGCTTTTAAAAGAAATTAACTTAACTTACTTACCAACTATTGTGATTTACATATAGTATATGAATTACAGTAAAAATTTGTTTCAAATACTGGCAGTAATTAAACGTTAAACATTATTATAAATTATTATTAAATTTATAATATTAAATATATAAAGATGTTAATTATGATAACAGTATTTGATACACAATAGTGTTCGAGATTCAGAGAATCTCTCGAATGTTATCATTTGGGGCAAAATCCCAACGGCTATCACTTCAAGGAAAATCGCAATGGCTATCATTTCAAGGAAAAACCTCAACGATTATCATTTCGGGGAAATGATTCTACGGTCATAATTTCTAAGTAAAATCTCCAACGGTCATTGGAGGTTCGGAAAAGCCGATACATCCGAAATGATACAAGTGCACAATCACCTCCATTGTTTATGATTATGCGCTACGATCGGCTTATTGTTGTCAACTAAGAAAGCTGCCGCGTGGCTATTTAGGGCAAACGCAGTACGAGGCGGACTAGTAGATTTTCAGTCATTGACGCAGTCAGTCATCCTTTTCACCCATGGAGATTAGTCAGTCAGCGTACATAACCACGACATGGCCAGTTGCGCATCTTAATTACGACTACCTCATGAGGAACGCCTCATCCACATGAGAAGGAGTCCGCAGAATACAAAACGATGCGTAAAATCATCACTATACTTCACCAAGCCTCTAAGATAATATCCAACATGAGAGAAGTCTCGCCAAACAAGGTACAGGTACAAGGGGCCCGACTCCCAAACGTTCCGTGACCTTTTCAATATATTGGTCCTGAACAACAATGACACTAGCAAGGTTAAAAAAAAATGCATCACCTCTAAGTAGCAGTGCAGTTAATTTCAGGATTCCCTCTGACAACCGACTCCCTTCCTCCGACTTGGGGACTGCTAACAGCCCGTTACTACAACAAGCCTTTGATAATTCAATCACGTTTCAATCAAGCCTTCTCAAATTCAAATCCAATTAAAAGAGAGAAAGCTAAGTTGGAAAAACTCATGAGAAACTTAACATTGGCCGATCCGCAATATCTTTTTAAATAAGACCTCGATCAGTAGACATCATTCTTGGAGTAGACATGTATGAGCAGTTCATCAAGCCCCACGTCATCACCCGTTCTTCATCCATGCCAATGGCGCAACTATCCATTTTTGGATGGCTCGTGGTAGGACTTGTCAACTCCATAAAGACTTGGAAGTTCACAGCACACGATGCATCAAGACAGGATGACGAACTTATATAACATGAATTACTGACGAAGGTTTGGATTCAGGAAGAAATACAATCAAGCGACGCTCATAAGTATAACTTGAAGAACAACAGTGCGAGGAACACTTCAAGAGTACTCACTCCCGCGATAGAACCGGGAAGTACATCGTTCGGATTCCTCTAAGCTCATTTGCTAATCATCTCAGTAATACATTCAACATAGCACGTCGCTGATTACAGTGCCTATTAAGGAAATTTTCGCAAAACCAGGAATACTAACGTTAGAATCAACAATTCATGAAGGAATATGATGATCTAAATCACATTGGCAAAATGGTATGCAACACATTAATATGTTATCACCGCATGACTGGAAAACATTCAGTGGAAATTAATAACCTTACGAAACGGATCGGCAGGAGGCATAAATGCATCCTAACTTTAAGAACATCCACTATGGTGGACCGGACCACACTGGAAGAAATCACCAGAGTCATGGCCAATCCAGCCTACATTGAACGATAAACAATGTGAACGGGATTATGCCGGCCCCTTAACCATAAAAATCTGGAAGGGTCTAAGAGCGAAAACTCATTTTTGTGTGTTTTGCTACATCTGCGATACATATCGTAGGAGTCAGTGACTACACAACCTATTTTTTATATCCGCATTCAGATGGTGGTTAATTTTCATCGGAGCTGATGCAACGCTCAAAAGACTATTCATTCAAGGCACCCTCGAACATCAGCAAATAGTAAATATGTTCTCATAAGACAACACTCAATGGGAATTCAACCCACTCGCTAGTGGGAAGCTGTGGTCAAATCTCTAAAACACTACCTAAGATGCTATCGGAGAGACCTTGCTCACTCTTGCTATTATTAAAAAATTGTAATAAAAAATTCAATTAGATATAAATACTTTTAATATTATTTCGTAAAACAAATACTATACTATAATTTAATGATACATTGTCTATATTTTCATATTTGTTGTAATTCGATGACTATATAAATCTTATCTTTATTTGGACTTATATTATTAAGTTGTCAAACATAGTTTGAATACAATTTTAACTCAAATACATTTTATTACAGTAAAACTATGATAGTATTGTCAAGCCTATTAGATAATAGTTAGCATGTTAAAAAAAACAATTAAATTTGTTTTTGTGTCATAGCAGAATTCATACACATTTTGAAATACGTCCATTAATTATTATTAATTTTGCTTATCGATAATAATTTTATTATTTTAAATTTAATTATGAAAAGTACTGATGAACTTAATATATTATATTTATATAAAACTTATTTTTCTCAAATGCGTATACGCATATTAATTATTTAATTTTAATTGAAATATTAACTTGTATTAGTGTGTATATATGTTATGATATTATACATATATATAAATAATATTGTATATACTCCATTTCAACAGTAATTTGATCATATTTTAATTTGTCGTCTGATAATTCGATCGTAGTAGTTTATAAGTTAAAAAGTCATTAATATTCGTAATTCCATATTTTAATATTTATTTTGATTTCAAATTAATTTATAATATAAATCATAAGAAATAAAAAAACCAATTTATAACATTATAGTATTAATCTAGATGTGTCCCATTTTTAAATGTATAAAATCGGAATGCGTAATTTTATAATTTTATATTTTCACTTTGTTTCAAGAAAACAAAATTCGATAGTTTTATTGCACATAAAAGATTTAGTATTATCAGGTATTATGCATTGTATTTGATATCAATAAAATGTATTGAAAATTGTGATATTAACAGCTGCTGATAAGATAGAAAATGCAATGGAAGTAGAAGTGAATGATAAATCAGTAAGGGGGAGTGAGATTTCAATTTATGCGTCTTCCAGTTAATTTCTTTTAAAATAGATATTTATTAAATGACAATATCTTTAAATGGAATAAACGCACATAATGTATAAAATAAATAATTTTTAAATTTGTTTAATTTGGTCATATTTGTGTACATTTTATCGTATTTTATATTAATTCCGTATTATTAATATAAAAGAATTCGAAAAGTATTAATATTCTGAAATCTAATTTGTTTTTATCAGAAATTGATTAAAGCGGTAATTGAAATTTACCAGGATTTCAAATAAAACTATCATTTTATGTACAAAGTTTTGTAATACGGTGTAAAAGAGAAAACAATCAGTAATTAAGCACATATCCTATTTCAATATAATTAACAAATCTTTTTATACCCCTTTATTATAATGTAATGTTTTCAAATAACCAACTGATGCAGTTTATAAATAATATTACATTACACAGACACGAGCATTCAATAAATATAAACAGTTGACTTCCAAAAATTTAATAAAAGGAATTTAAAAAAATTTTATTTATTAAAATAGAATTTTTCTATCGATTATTATTGTGTACATAATAAATAGTTCTTTAAATAAATCAGATATTAAAATTAATAATATTTAACGAATTACTTTTGAAAGTAATTTAGTATAATTGAATGTATACTATGTGTTCAAAATTAAATTTATAATTTATCTATAATTTATATATTTATATATATATATATATATATATATATATATATATATATATATATAATTTGGCCTAAATGACTGATTTTCTGGAGTAGCGTTTCAAAACAATAAAATAAAATAATAGGGGGATTTCCCGAG